GAGGTAATCAACTCCAACGGAACCCAGAGTTTAAATAGTAAGCAGGCAAATACAACAAAACTTCTTTGGAGGCTGCATGGATGATGTTACCCAGCAGGGTAACGAACTGTCTGCAAATTAATGAACCAGCTCGGTGAGTGAACCAACCACAGAGTCCACAATCCGGGCGTGTCTTCTTCGCTCTCCCTCTCACTATCTGTCTCTTTTCACCCCATGTTCTTGCTTGCTGTCTTTGCTTTCCCCTCTCATTTGTATACTGTCACTTTCTCCCTCTACTATCTTGCACGTGCTCTGTTTCTCCCCCTCTCTCTGACATTCAGCCAGCACTCTGTCTGTCTGGCGTGTGGAAAGGCCAAAACAGCGTTCACCGATTAATTTGAGATCTGTGATTGCATGGAGAAAAGGGGACAACAAATGAACAGTTGAACTCTGCTGTTGGAGACTCTTGCTGTTAGTTTACTGTTATATTTTCTCGTGGGAATTAAAATCCAAGATTTAATGTTAATTCCAATTTCACCAAATGAAACCTTGGATTTGGCTCTTGTTCGTTTTTTTTCATCTGGTGTCTAAGTTTAATTGAAGGCAGATAGCTGTGATAATAAGGATCTTATTAAAAATTGGATGTGACTGACCAAGAGCATGCAGGCCCAACGTGCCCAACTGTTCCTCATTAAGATATTCCCTGGATACCAGGAATGAATAGCGTGATCGACTACCTACCTTGCAAGCCACACAACATCCTGATGTGGAGCTACACTACTCTTCCTTCATTGTGGCTGGTCAAAACCCAGGAACTTCCTCCAAAAACTGCAGCGGTTTTCAAGAAAGCAGCTTGCTGCCACCTTAAGGGCAATTAGTAATGTGCAATAAACTCCTGATCTAGCTTTATTTGGTTAAAATAGACCTAAATTTCCAAAATAGTATAGCAAATGATTAATTTTGATCAAAACTGATTTAAGAATATTGGAACAGGTGGTATAACGTTCTAATATGATTGTGATATGTGAACTTGGAAACTAGCTTCCTGTTTGCAGCAAAGGGAATATCTTCTGTGGCAGTTGTGCAACAAAGAATTGCCACGTTAAATTTGATTTGATTTATTATTTTCACACGTACTGAGATACAGTGAAAAGTATTGTTCTGCATGCTTTCTAGGCAAATCATACCATACATAAGTACATCAGAGTAATAGAACAGAATGCAGAATATAGTGTTACAGCTACAGAGAAGGTGCAAGGAAAGATAAACTCTAATATGAGGGGTCTGTTCATAAGTCTGACAATACGGGGAAGAGGCTGTTCTTGAATCTGTTGGTGCATGTTTTTTCAGACTTTTGTATCTTGTGTCTGATGAAAGAGGGCGGAAGGGAGTATAACTGGGTTTAGAGCTGGTGACGGGAGGGAGGTCTTTGATTGTGTTGGCTGCTTTCCTGAGACAGTGGGAAGTGATGGTTTTCATGATGGGCTGGGCTGCGTTCACAACTCTGTAATTTCTTGCGGTCTTGGGCATAGCAGTTGCCATAACAAACTGTGATGCATCCGAATAGGACGCGTTCAATGGTATAAAAATTGGTAAGAGTCATTGTGGATATACTGAATTTCCTCCGCCTTCTGAGGAAGTAGAGGCATTAGTTTGCTATCTTGACTGTAGCTTTGACGTGGATGGACCAGGACAGATTGTTAGTGATGTTTGTGCCTAGAAACTTGAAGCTCTCCACCATCCCTACCTCAGCACCATTTTAAATGCCAAATGATCTCAATTTCTTTGAATGGTTACCTGCTAAAAGCTTGTATTATAACTGAATGTAGTTAAAATTAAAATGAAGAACGTGATACGCATTTATAGAAGTTAGTTTCTGTATCTATTAGAAACTGTGATTGTCAATAGCTTTATGCATGTCTGTTCAGTTGAGACTGGACTTGGTTGACATTGGTTGCATACAAATGAGGAAATTAGCTTCTTTTATTGAACAGTGAAGTTCAATTTTCTATTGTGCAGCTTTGTGCACAATTTAATGTGCATATTGGTACATATTCCATGGAAATGGGGCAGCTTTGTCTGATACCACAGTTGTGCAAATATTTGTTGGTCAATTTATGCTTTATCTGTACAGAATGATTATTTGAAGGCTGATTGCTTATTTCACCATTAATAAAATGTTGAAAAGGAGAAGTACAGGGCTATCTGGGAGGCAGTAATACTTGAGCGGAAATGGAAGAATGTTCACTTTGGTTTGTTGACAAATTATATCTGTTTTCCAGTTAGATTATAATGTTGAACAGGAAATGAGAATCTTTGTCACAAGGTATGGCATACTGTTGAAAGTTGAGATCAGTTTGTCTGGAACGTACTGACCTTCTGAATTTTTTTTAAACCCTAAAAGCGCTACCTTTTTCATGGCTCTGTGCTGGCTATGATATACTGCAATAACACACCAAGGCTCCTTAAGCAGCACCTTCCAAACCTTCAGCCTGTATCACCTGGAAAGGCAAAGGCATAAAATGCAGTGGAACAATGCCACCTGCAAGTTCTTTCCAAGCCACAAACCAATCTGACTGGAACTTTATTGCTGTTCTTTTGTTGACGCTAGGTCAAAATCCTGGAACTTCCTTCCCCACAGCAGTGTGGGTGTCTTTGCACCCCAAGTACTACAGCAGTTCAAAAGATAGCTCACGACCACCTTCTCCAAAGCAGTTTATGATGGACAATATGTCCTAGTGTAATAACAATCCTAATAAAATATGAAAAAAAAAAGCCATTTTTAAATTAAAATGCATTTATTCATTATTTGGAATAGCGCAGCAGGAATTAAAGTACGTTATTGTATATTGAAGCAGTGTTAATCACAACTGTGTTATCATAGTGAAGCTTTTTATCTACCTTTTGCTTTTAACTCCTGATTAATGCTGTACTAGTCAGTTGAAAGAAATAACATGCAAATTTATGAGCAGTTGTTCTTGAGCCTCTGATGACTGCTGTTGGACTTGACTAACTGCATGAGCCACCGAGGAAACAAATTAGGCAAATAATATTCAATATAGTGTATAATAACTCTTTTAAACGAGTAAGGATATTATTACTTACCAACTCCCTCCCATCCCATCACCCTCAAAAAAAAGCGTGTTTCTCCTGATGGAAGAATATATATTAATATTTGTCTTCTCACGTGTTTGGTGTTGGAAACCGCATTCTCTTTTTTTGGATCCGTAAATTCTGAGCAGTTTCATTTGTTGACGGATTGCATTTCAAAGAATATATGGTAAAATCTTGCCTTTTCTGAGAGCAGCCTTAAAATAGATTTTTACTATTTAAAAATTGATAAAGGGGAATTTTGAAATTAATCTGTGCACACTTCTAGTCATAATATTGTTACAGAATAAATTTATAATTGCTATGATTTTCCTCTTTTCAAATGAAATGAACTTCAATTACCTTAGCTGACTGGAATTATGTTTCACATAACAAGCTGTTTAAGTATAGTTTTAAAAAAAAAAATTACAATTTGGTTGCAGACTGTAGACATTTTTTGGAATATGGAAATGCTTCCGATTTGGTTAGGAAGTACTTGAATGAAAATTATTCTCCAACAGTATAGAAACTACAAACGTTTTACTGTATTAAACCAGGCTTTTGGTCCTAAATTAAGCAGCTTTGTTGAGGGCTTAGATAAACAACCTGAAAGTCCAGCTTATGATTGTACAGTTTACCATAAATCTGCATTGTGTTGTTGAAGAAGATCAACACAATGGAGTTCAAGGACACTAAAGTAACCAGTAAAATAACACTTATCAATCTCTAAAAAATCAATCTTCTATCAGTTACATCATGCCATCTAGAATAATTCTAGAACATGGGAAGAGGAAAATGCAATCGCTTATTGTGACCTTTCAGAATTGGCTAAATTGGTTATGGGTTCCAAGGGCTAAGTTTATGTAATGTAAATTGGTGAGAGTCAAGATGAAGTTGTTCTGGGGTAGAGCAGGATGGGAGGTAGTGAAAGTTTTTAAAGGATCAGGTCTTCAAAGATGGGAGGGTTTGGGCAACCTAAAATTTTGCCAAGTTGCAATAACCTACACTGAAGGCCCAAAGGCTAGTTATATAAGTACTTGTTCAGAATACAGTGATAGTGACAATGAGAGTTTTTATAAATCCCAGTGTAGATGCGGAGGAAATATAGCTGGGAAAGGATGGGAGATGTAGGTTTGAGGGAGACAAAGAAATAGTTGATACTTGCCCTTGTTTTTGATTGAGACTATGGGATATGGAATGGTTGAGGGGGTGGCAGAAAATGTAATAAGGGGCAAGCTTAGAAAGGAAGAACGATAAATTCGTAACTTCTGAGAGGTTGGACCAAGAGAACTGAAGAGACGACAGGCACCAAAGTTGAGGCATTACTTGGTGGATTGCATGTACCATTTGCATAAAACAAATTTGAATGTCTGCATCTGTTTATATATTTGGATTATAGTTTGACAGTTATTTGTGCAAAGAGGTTAAAATAACTGATTGCATTTCTTGTAGAAATGGCATGAATTCAAAATTAGTGAGAGGAAAGCAAAAGATTGTACGTTTTGACAAAAAAAGTTTTGATTAAATAAATAATTTTAGCATCATGCCCTATTTTGATTTTCTCTTCACCAATGCTGCTAGACCTACTGAGTTTCTCCAGCTTTTCTGTTTGTTTTAGATTTCCACCATCTGGAGTATTTTGTTTTGAACTTATTTAAAGAAGCAACTTAGTTGGCATGCAACACAACAGATCTCAAATTAGTTGCCACGTGTCAGCAGTGAACAAACTTTTTTTTTTGTAATTTACACTTTGCAGCATGCAACATGGCTGTCTAAAACATAAAATAAAGGTCTTTTTTTAAAGACTTTGCATGTTTCTGAATAAAACTCAAGAGTTGTAGTCCATTCAGGTTAGAAGAATGTTTTCATTTGGAATGAAAACAAATTGGCTAGATTCAAGTTTACTAATTCATAAAACATTGGCATGTCTAAATTTTTTTCTGTATTCTAACCGCCTTTAATTTTTTTGTAGGGTCGTCATGTCAAAACAGGACAACTGGCAGCTATTAAAGTCATGGATGTTACGGAGGTAAGTCAATGTAATTTTTATATAAAAGCTCCAGTGATCTAGTACTTTGCTGTTTTGCTGCCAGGGTCAGCTACCCTTTTTAATTAGGGACTGTTTCAAAAAAATGCCAGCTTTAAAGCCACAGAATCTATCACCACAAGAAATAACAAAGAAACATCTGTGCCATATGTATGATTTTGGATCTATGTTAAACAATTCTCCTAATTTCTTTTTACAATATATGGAATGAGTTTTATGTTTAGTGTCAATTTGCCTTTAGCAGGGTGTTTTACCTGCTTCAGCAATGCTTATGTTATCCCTCATAATATAAGAAACTGTCTGTGGATGAATAGTATTGAAGAATCAAATGGACGTTTAATTACAAATAATTATTAGTATAGACATTGGGTGCACAATTTTCTGGGTTAGTGTTACATTATAAGTTACAGCAGAGAAGCATGCTTCAAGTGATCAGAGATAAGTTGGAGCATGTGATTTTTATATCCTCAGGCCACATGCTCTGATGCAGTGATGAGAAAATGAACATGACCTGAAAAAATGTACTGACATATTGACAGTGCAACATAGCAAAACATCCTCCCTTTTAAAAGATAAAAACTTAGTGCAGATATACAGCATGTATTGTACTTGGGCATATGTTGTCAATTTGGTAATTGTACAAACAGTTAAAATGGAGCTTACACGATTAACATTTCAAGTTTTGATGTTACACTATGGAAATTTGACAATTCATTCGGATCTAGTGATCACATCCACCTGGAGAGGTACGTGTCTTCTGTTGCAATTGTTTGATTATTTCGTTGTTAACCGACAGAATTACGCAATCATCATTGTCAGAGCATTCCTCTTCAATCTTTGTGCGTGGTTGGTGTGCTGTACATTGCAAAGGAAAAGAATCCAGTTCAGACCAGTGTAGTGCATTGATCAGTGGTGACTTGAGCATCTGGGCTGATTGCACAATATAGAAACATTTGCTGCTTTCTAACTCTCACTCTCTGCCCAGGTGCAGCTCTGATAATTCATTACTGGCTTGTCATGTTGTTTCTTTCATTCTCCTCAGTCTTTGAAGAAGAATGTCCTGTGTCTTGGAATAGTTGGACAATTGATAGTGTTGTTTGCTCTTGCCTTCTGATCACGAATCGTGCGGGGGTAATAATCCCTTCTCCATTGTTGTTGCAGAAAATGCAATGTGAAAATCTGGCTTTGTTGCTTGACACTTAACCATTGATTTTATAGTGTATTCCATATGACTTGCTGAGTGTTTAAGCAAGGATAGTGGGGTGATAATGTGATATGGGTCACTGCCCACTTGGTACATTTATTGAAAAAGTTTTGCCAGTGAACTATGGTTCATTAGCAGACGTACTGTGTTCCGGGATGTCAAATAGACTGAAAATAGTGCTCACGTCAGTGGCAGTCCTGTTTGTTGTGTTGACAAGTCATTGAACAATGTGAAATTTCAAGAAGTAACCTGTCACAAGGATGTCACCTTCCTTTGTACAATGAATAAATCTGTTGTTACTTTTATCCAAAGAGTAGATGAAACATCATGTGAATATAGAGGCTTCCTCCACTGGGGTTGGTACTACTTCTTTCCTCACATTCATTCATGTATCATTGAGTATCCTGGCCACTAGAACATTGAACATGGAATGGTTCAAGGTCAGAAGTCACATGACATCAAGTTATAATCCAACAGGCTTATTTGAAATCACAAGCTTTTGGAGCTCTGCTCCTTCATCAGGTGACCAAGGAGCAGCACTCTGAAAGCTTGTGATTTCAAATAAACCTGTTGGATTATAATGTGGTGTTGTGTGACTTCTGACCTTGTCCACCCCAGTCCAACACTGGCACCTCCACATCATGGAATGGTTCAGCACAGGCAGGTCCTTTGGACCTCCTATATCTATGCTAACCGTGATTCTATTCTAAACTGATCCCATCTGTCTCACATGGTCCATATCCCTCTCTTCTCTGTACATGTGTCTGTGTAAATACCTCTTAAACTTTGCTAATGTGTCTGTTTCTACCATCTCCCCTGACAGCACATTCAGGGCACCTACCATCCTCTGTGTCAAAAAAAAACTTGCCTCAAATACTTTCTTTAAACTTTCTTCTTCTCACCTTAAATCTATGCCTGCTAGTATTTGATATTTCCACCCTGGGAAAAAGGCTCTGACTATCTACCTATGTTTTAATTTTATATACTTCTATCAGGTTGCCCCTCAGGCTCTGACCTGCAAACAAAAACAATCCAAGTTTATCCAACATCTCCTTGTAGCCAATAAAGTCGCAAGCCAGGCAGCATTCTGGTAAACCTCTTTTGCACCCTCTCCTAAAGCCTCCACATCCTTCCTGTAGTGTAGTGACCAGAACTGTACGAGATACTCCACATGTGGCCTAGATAAAGTCTTACACAGCTGCAGCGTTACTTGCTAACTTTTATGTTCAGTGTGCTGACTGATGAAGGCAAGTGTGCCAGGTACACCTTCTTTACAATCTTATCCACTTGTGCTGCCACTTCTAGGGAGCTATGGACTTGGACCCCAAGATCCCTCTGTATATGAATGCTCCTAAGGTTCCTGCCATTTACTATTTTTTTCCTCTTGTATTCAACCTTCCAAAATGCATCGCCTCACATTTGTCTGGATTAAATGCCATTTTCCATTTCTCTGCCCAACTTTTCAACTGATCTACATCCTGTTGTATCCTTTGACAGTCTTTCTCATTATCCACGACTCTTCCAATTCTTGTGTCATCTGCAAACTTACTAATCAGACCACCTACGTTTTCACCTACATTACAAACAACAGAGGTTCCTTGCGGAAAACCACTGATCACAGACCTCTAGCCAGAAAAACACTCCTCCACAACAATCCTCTGTCTTCTATGACCAAGCTAATTTTGTAACCAGCTTGCTAACTTACCATGAATTCCATACGACTTGCCTTCTAGACCAGAACTAGATTCGTGTGCTGGCATTTTGTGTTCAAAACCAATGTATACTGTATTTGGTGTAACTTGGACATGAATCTTGTCATAATGCTTTTAGTATTGGGGCTTGTTTGCTCTTGAAAATAACTTGGGATTTATCAGGTTTACTTCTGTGTGGTTCAAACCTGACAGTATAAAAAATTTCTATTAACCCTCCCGAAGGCCTCTGTGACACATACCAGTTCAAAATTATGGTTCCGCATTGACTGAACTAGTTAATTACTAAACTCCTTCACAAAAAATAGACCAACATCCAATTGCCACCAGTCAAATACAACCATCTGAAATACAATAGTCTGAAACACAAGCTCTTGAAAAGTAAATTACATGAATGTATATCAATTGCACACGTTTCACCATAAGTGGGGAGGGCTGTGATGAAGAGAAAATGGAATCACAGTTGGCAAATGACTGTTAAGCTTCTTGGGGGATTCATGGCATTCATGCCACCCACAGTTTTTTGATTAAAAATGTATGAATTGTGAAGCCTGTTCACCAATGAAAGTGTCTCAAGCTGTAAGTGCTAGTAATTTGGGGAGAGGGAGTATTTGGAAGTCTGTGTGGCTTAAAATGTCCCATGAAAGAATCTCTTGACAAGGTCAGTTGCAGCTCTGAGCTTTTTCACAAACCCTCTAGATGTGCTCTTAACTCTTAATTTTAGAATGCCTTGGGATCATCCTCTTTAATACTCTAATTCTACAAAATCAAGCTGTGGCAAAATGACTAAATCAATGGTTTTAAAAACTGTTATTTAAAAAAAACAACCTGAGGTTTAAAGGGACTTATGCCAGTGTTGGCCCTCAGTTGGATTGTCACAGCAGCAAATGCTACCTTGGGGGCTGATGACCCCAAAGTTTCAATTAGGTGACCCCGCTGGGGGTCTCAACCCATAGTTTGGTGAGCTGTGAGTTTGACTAATTTAGTGTTGATTATCTTTGGACGGACATAAGGGAAACTCATGGTGAAGAGATGCTGATTGAGCTGAACATATGGTCTCAATCTTTTGAGATAAAGACTATCAGAATATTTTTGTTTGCGATGTTGATTACTAAGTATTCATTTCTAGGTTTTTTTATACTGTGCATGAAATTATCTAATGCATCACAGAAAAATTTAACTAACAGTATTAGAGAGTTCAAGATAAAAGTCAAGATAAAGTCCCGATAGTCTTAATGGACCATAGGGCTGCTCTCTCATTAGGGGGAAACAAATGGTGGTGGTTTACCTGAGGGTCACCGCACCTCAGGCGAGGGGAGAAGTTGAGAAAAAGTCTTTCATGTAAACTCACTTGGTGTGGGAATTGAATCCATGCTACTGGCATCACTGTGCACCCAAAGCCAGCTATCCAGCCAACTGATCTAACCGATCCAATGGTTACAGGTAGTGATCCAGTCATTTGAAGAGCGAACAGTTTTCCTTAAAGCGTGCTATGCATGGGATTATTTACTGAAAATTTACCCCCCCTTTTTCAAGAACAATGGGTAACTAATTAATCCTGTACATTATACCATACCAAGTCTAATACAACATGTGGCTTGGTCAGTTCCAACATATCCTGCTCTAAGGAACGATTTTGAAAGCATTCAGACTACTATTGCCAATCCGGTTTGTCGAGTATATGTGTGCATTGATGTCACTCGTAATTATTGCTGTCCCTTTATTACAATTCCTTGCTCGTTTTGTCTCCCATTAAAATGACTGCTAGGAGGACTTCCAGCAGTGACATCTTTCCCCTCATGTTCCTCAGGCTTATCCAAGCCAAATTTCTATCCTGATCTCCTGATTCCAGGTCATCTGACTCTTGCAAAAATTCAGGGCCTTGTCATCCTGCAGGTCAGTCTCTAGAAATGGCTATTAGATCTATTAATTTACTTAGATATGTGCTACTAAATTTGCTTACTTTGTTACGAATGCTCTAGCATACAGACGCAGCCTTTAATTTTGTCATTTTGTTATCTTTGTAACATTTCATCTTGATTGTTGGTATATTCCTTGTTTTCTTTCCT